GAGTTTAGTTTATGTGAGTCATTTCTCCAGCTGCTATGTGTTGATAATTATGCAGAAAAGAGCGAAAATAAATAATGATTCACTAGGTTGGCTTAGGGATATAAATTATTCAGTAGATGTAAAATCAATAATGTTTTGATATTTAATGTTTTGGTTCGAGATGTATGCCAAGCAAAAAGGTGGCTACAGAGCCAAATTATTGATCATGCAGATTTCATCTAATAAATGATTGTTTCTAACATGGAAGTATTTTATTTAGCGCCAAAGTGAAAATAAAAATCAAGACCTTTCATATGCTTTATTATGAAAAAATGTTTACTCTCCATGCCTGAAGTATGTACTAAAGCGGAATCTAATTCTTTCTCTATTCTAGCCAAAAAAAAAAAAAAAAAAAGAGGTCCTGCTATAGTCAGGAGGTCTGGATTTTAGATCATTTCAGATGTTGGACATCCGGGTTTCAGACTTTATACTGTGTCATATATCATTATTCATATCCTGTAATCAATAGCACTAGGACCATAAACTTCATTTATTCCTATTAGCACATAGGAGGGCTGTTCGTAAGAGTGGTGAATTTATATAATCACAGATGATATCGGGCCATGTTTTTGCTAACCAATGTGACTAATTCTCCACATTATTTCTGGATGTTTCCTTTTTCATTCAGCAGAAAATGTACAAGTGCATGTAGATGCCGCCGTTTATCTTTTTACTTAAAAGAAGATCAAGGACCTAAGGACTTTGAGGATAAAGATGAAATGTGTTATAAAAGTACAGTAGTTTTTCAAAGACCAGATGTAACTGTGGTAGAACATTAAGAAATCGTTGAGAACTCATCCTAGCTTCAGTTATGCTGGAAAGATGAAGCAGCTGAACAACTTGCTACTGTTTATGGATAGTTTCAATTAAAAATTTTTTATATATTTTTTGTATTTCTTCCAGAATTTTGTTAAGTTTTTTAAAAAAAATTACTTACATTTAGGATGTTAGGATCCACATTCCATTTGTAAAAAAAAAAATACCTTTGTGTTACTTTTACCTTCATTTCCTCTTTTTTTTTTTTTTTTTTTTTTTTTCCTGCTTAACAAAAGCAGTCAGTACAGGTGTATTTTAATTCTAAGAGTTCTAACTATCAATATCAATACTTCTCTTAATTCCATTTAAAGTTCTGAATGAGCTTTATTCAAGATTGATGCTACTCAGGGATATAGGAGGGATGAGAAGTTTGAAGGGTTGTTAGGGGAAACAACTGGTTTTAATCATTTTAGAGAAGTATGACAAATACATTCATTACTACATTTCCCTTATTGATGGAATGTTAGCACTAGAAAAGTATTACCAACTCAACCAACCCAAATTGTTTTTAACATGTTGGTCCAAGTGAAAAATATATTGTGACAAAAATTAAAGTGAGAAAAGCCAACATCGAAAACCCTTCTTCTGAGACTGATGAAAATGTTGAGCAAATATGCATAAAGTGAAATCCCTACCACAGCAGACGCCAAGGCTGTGATGCATTTCATTAATGAGATTTTATTCATATAAACTTTAGAATCAAAAGTTATGCAATCTTTTCTGTTTTTGAACAAAAAACAAATGAAATTTTCCTGCAGTTTTCATTACATGAGCCAAAAAATTCATTATTTTTGTAGGCCCACCAGCGGCCAAGCGGTAAAGACGCTGAACACTGGTAGTTTGGTCCAAGGTTCGAGTCCCTCGAACGGGCTGGCTGCATGGGCATTTTCATGGTTTTCCCCATGTGTAACGTGTATACGAGCCAGTTTCCTTTAGAAAATCCTCCACGAAGGCATCCCTCCCTTTAGGCAGGGTTAGCCCACGTGTGCTTGCCATACTTGAATAATCCTAATCCATAAATTATTTTTGTACTTGGAACTTAAAGGTAAATTCATCAATATTTTTTGTTATTAATTTTTATCTTTTTTATATTTTTATGAATAAAATAATTATTCATAGTCATAAATGTGTAATTCAAAAGAAAGGTTAAAACTATAATATTTATGTTGAGTTATTCATCATGTAAATTTAAAGTGAGATGTGTGTTTCACTTCTTAGAGTAGATGTGATGATTCATATTAATCTTTTTTTGGGAGGGTCAGTAATTTTTTACGTTCTTTTATGACATAATTAATTTTTTTTTTTTTTTTTTTTTTCTCAGATCAGTTATAGCAAACGTAATTTCCGGCCCTTTGAATTTCGTTAAAGTTAGACTGGGCTGTATATGTGCCTTAATGTTGTTGCTGTCTTCACTAAATCCATCTTGATTATGTGCAAGAATTATATATTTGATATCTGTTAACTTTTACCTGTAGGGCACTGACTAAATGTATGCACTAAAATTTATAGGTGTCTGTTTGTTATGCTGTTAGTTAAAATATATAAAAAAACTTGGGAGCAAATTACTAATAATTAAAGAATTTTCTCATGTATTCAATTTTATACCCAGCATCCACCCAGGACAGTTCCTAATTTTCCAGATCTGCTGGATGCACACCAAAAATACTACAAAATATGAAAATTATTTAGAAGGAAATAATTCATAAAAATGTTTTTTTAGATAAAACATTCCAACAATATATATATATAAATTCCTCTTTACTATTAGCAAAATTTTCAGTCATATTATTGAAGTCCATTTCATTGCTCAGTTACTGTTTTTTACTTAATATAATATTTCAGAAATGCAATGTACTCATTTGTAGATCTCTGACAATTCTTAAACAGTTATCTCCTACAAAAACTCCTTTCACAACTAATGCAAGAAGAATATGCATACGACAAGAGGAATATACATGAGTAAAAGAACCATCCAAGAATAAAATTTTCTCTTACTGTGAAAAGTACTACAGTACAAAGTCTGTAATCCGGACATCCATTATCCGGAATGATCTATAATCTGCACCTCAAAGCCACAAACTTGTGCATGCGCGTAAAGCCAGTAAAGCGTTTACACATACGCGCTTCCGATAGTGAAGAAAGTGACAGAGAATGAAAACGAAATGTTATTGAAAACAAAAAAATTTCGATTGACAAGTTAGTCGGTATTCTCGACACAGCAATTACAGTATTTGAAAAGTGGAACTTTGTAACTGAACTAGAAATTATGTCTGTTTATAGAATAGAGAATTAAAGAGAAAGTATTAGCACAAAAAACAAAGCAACTTAAACAACTTACATTGAAAGAAATGTTTAATAAAGTAAACAAATAAATATTAAGCTTTTTTTTTTTCTGTAAATTTTGATACCCTTCAGATCATAATTGCTCTTTATTTCATAAATTACAGTTTCATATTTTTAATTGTATAATTTCTGCATGCCATCTTACTAGATCTATAATCCAAAAAAACCCCTAATCCGGAATCGCCAAAATCCCGACAAGTCCGGATTACGGACTTTGTACTATATATGTATATATCATCTGGGAGTAGATGTTTCCTGACTGCACCACTTTTTAGAGCCTATTGGTGGGGAAAGCTTCCACTATCAGAAATTATATTCGAATATAATTAATAATAATTATTTTTAGTCGCCGTGCTTATCTACTCTGCGATTTAGCAAATTTGTTTTGCACGTTAAAAGTGCTCTGTCATTTATGGGAGCTACTGAAATGCTGAAGAAATTATTCTTGAAAACATTGTCAGTTTGTAATGCCTTTGATGTGTCAGAATTTTTGACGGAATTCAAAATTCTCCTATCATTTATAATGCGCATTCATACTGTTAGATTTATAAATGATTGAAGTTATAAATATATGGTACATTATTTCAAATTCAGAAATGAAAGCAGTGCATATTTTGAACAGTTATGGTCATTGAATAAATAAATTGCTATTACTAGAGAGCTGGCATATTTTTTCTTTACGTAATCGATTCATTGTCTAAAATGTTCAATCCTGGCTCCGTAAAGAACGGCAGCAACTTATGAACCTGTCCTAATCCTTTAACATTAAGTAACACTGAATCAAGAGAAGGTTTAAAACAAAACTTTTCAATAGACCTTCAGTGTGACAATGTGTACAGTTATGCCTTCGACTCACACAAACAAACAAAGGCTAAAGCTCACTCAAACAAATTCAGAAGCTGGGAAAAACTAGTATCAAGACAGTCAGCAGTTGCTGCTAAAAGCTTTCTGCCAAATTCAAGAATTTTATTCTTGTATACATCAATCAGTTTTCATCCTGGTGAGAACTGACTAAAATAGAAATGATAATTGTTTAATAAACATAAATTCTACATTTTTTAAAGCCTTGAAATCATAGCTGTCTTATTTCTTGTTTTACATTGATTTTTCTCATTACATGTATGTTTTATCACAGTGACTGCTATAAACCTAGCTCTGCACAAATGTGTCATTACACATGAAGTATTAATCATTTAAAAGTCAGTTTATTTATTAGATTATTTTGTTAAATTTTCTCATACATATGTAAATTCAGGTGGACCTTTGGCTCTGAAAGATCCTTGAAGTAATGCAAACTTGTCAATATTATTTCCCTGAAAATAATTTTCAAGCCTATTAGTAATCTGCTTGGTGCTTCTCAAAAACAGTGATTTGTTATAATGCCTGTTAGTTCTTCTTGCTATTATATTACCAATACATCAATGATTCAAATTATAAAAGCACACAGTTTAAGTATCATTTCTGTGAAGTTATTGGAATATAGAACACAATTTGGAAATTAGTAAGCCATTTGTCTAAAGAACTAAAATTGTGAATTCAATTTCTTAAAAATTATGCCATATAGCCTGTCTATGGCAGGGGAATTGTTTTTTATTGTAGTCATATTTTTTTTCTCCAACAGTTCCCTCCCCTTTTTTATAAGTCTAGAAATTTCATTTTTCTTGTAGTGTAAATATAGTAATGTATAGGTCCAATTATCTGGAAATTTAAGTCTCAGTGTTAACTAAATTAAAATTCCAATTTAACAAAAAAAAAAAAAAAATTATTTTGTTTCTTTGGCTGATATGGTTTTACTTCCTTAGATGCAACATTCACATGAAAATTCTGTGTCACAAAATGTGGTAAATGCAGAATGTTGCCCTATGGTACCAGTTCTTATCAAGAACCAATTGAAATCATGGGTTCATGCACCACTAACAGTCAATGATTTAGTTAAAAAATGTGAAAACCCTGAATTAACGTTTCGTGTTTCTCCCAAATCTTCTGATGGTAAGCATTTGTTTTTATTTTTTTGTTTATATATATAGACTGATAAATATATAAGTAAAATCATATTTTTTAAGAAATAAAGCTCATCTTTGTTTCAGAATAAGAGTGTGTGTGTAATATGCTTTAGGATTAGAAATAAATTTCAGTTATATGTATTTCAGAATAAAGGACTCTTTTTTCCCCAAACGAATTATAAAACTATAATTTAAAATGGATTCAGTAGAGATTTCTTTTCATGGTGTCTATACGTACGTGTGTATGTATCTTGCATAATTTTTAAAAAAAAGTAGCCTCAGAACATTGAAATTTTGTATATAGGATTGCTATAGCATGTAGTTGTACACCTCCCTTTTTGGTTGCAATCAGCTGCACCAAACTTATATACAGTCAAAAGTTGTTAATTGGAACACACATAATCCGGACATCAAAGCTACAAACTTTCTGCGCATGCGTCAACACATGTGTTCACGCATGCACATAATACGTTTACGCATGCGCGTTTAATGTATAACGGACGGTGTAAGCTAAGCTAAAAATATCTAATTATCTATTTCAGTTAATGTTGCAGATTGCGTTGTTCCTTAATCTTCGAATCGGATCCGGCTTATTATTTTTTGCATACTGTTAGAGCAGTTTTATAAAATTAAACTTGAACTTTCAATTATGTCAAATAGAATTTCCGATGCTGGAGCTGCCAAAGAATCTACAAAGCGAAAGTATGTTTCGATGTCCATCAAACAAAAAGTGGAATTGCTGCAAAAAATGGATAAAGGCATATCCTTTTTTCTCTAACCATTCCGAAATCTGTTTATCAATTTCATGCTGCTCTGCGGGGGTTGGGAGACGTCGTGGCGCTCAATGAACTGGAAGTTGATCTGTCAGCACAATCCTTATCTTCAGGGCAGATGTTTTTATTTTTATTTCGCTTGTAATTCCTTACTAAATGTAGTATTTTATCTTGATGTACTCTGTCTTTGATATGATTGAAATAAAATTTCTCGTCATTATAATTCGCTTCCGATACTGAAGAAGCCCACCAGCGGCCGAGCGGTAAAGTCGCTGAACACTGGTAGTTCGGTCTGAGGTTCGAATCCCGTGAACGGGCTGGCTGCATGGGTGTTTTCGTGGTTTTCCCCATGTGTAACGTGTATACGACCCAGTTTCCTTTAGAAAGTCCTCCACGAAGGCATCCCTCCCTTTAGGCAGATAGCCCTAGTGTGCTTTGCCATAATTAAATACACCACACCACACACACCGATACTGAAGAAAGTGACGCAGAGGTTATTGAAAACGAAACAATTTCGATTAACAAATTAATCGGTATTCTCGACACAGCAATTATAGGACTTGAACAGTGGAACTTTGTAACTGAACAAGAAATTATGTCTGTTTATAGAATTAAAGAGAAAGTATTATCACATAAAACGAAGCAACTTAAAGCAACTTACATTAAAAGAAATGTTTAATAAAGTAAACAAATAAATATCAAACTTTTTTTTTTTTTTTTTTTTATTTTATTTTGGTACCCTTTAGATCATAATTGTTCTTTATTTCATAAATTACGGTTTCATATTTTTAATTTTATAATTTCTGCATACCAACTTACCAGATTTAAACTGATGATCTATAATCCAGAAAAATCGATAATCCAGAATCATCGAAGTTCCAATGAGTCCAGATTAAAGACTTTTGACTGTAAATATATACTTACTAGCCTTTTTATTATTATTTCTATTATTATATTTTAATTGTTGTATATAGTTTTTTTTAGGTTTACATGCATAATTCGTGTTGGAAAAGTTTCCTGTAGGCAAGAGTTTCTAAATTACTCTGGTTTTTTAAAAAATTTGATTTTCTACTCTTAATTGACTTTTAATTAATTTAATTAATTGCTTTATTCATTTACTTGAAGAAGCTAAAGAAAGCATTACAGTTTTAGTGTGCAGCAATGCAGCTCGACCTTACAAATGCAAACCAGTGGTACTGGGGAAGAGGACCAACACCAGAGCTCTGAAAGGAGTGAAATCCGTACCTGTGATTTACAGGAGTAATAAAAATTTCTTCTTCATGAAACAACTTATGACCGAATGGTTCATGGAGCATTTCATTAAAGAGGCTAAGAAGGCATTTGTAACAGTGTGGGGTTACTTTTTTTTTACCCCAAATACTTCATCCTTAATCCAACCAGGGCTGTGGAGTTTTTAGGGAAAATGACCGACTCCTGGAATTTCCCTCATATATATATATATATATATAAATATGTGTGTGTGTGTGTGTGTGTAAATAATTTATTTACTAAATAATATGGATTAATTGATTATATTATCTCCTAAGTTTAATTATAGTAGGATTATCTTAAAAGAGTGTGCAAGTAGTAGTAACTTGTTTTCGCAGTAAATGAATTTAAGATCATACAACATTATATATATTTAAACATATACACATGGGTTACAGCTTATTTTTTTTAAATAAAAGAAGTAGTAGATGCTACAAGGAAAAAAAATGATGGCATAACAAATTATTTATATTAATTAGCATTTATTATGAAATGGAAAACTGGCATTAGCTATTTCCAAGAAACAGTATAGCTATGGCAAAATCTTTGTTGGAGGGCCATAGATCTGATTTGATAAACTTCAGAGCTGAGAAGACTCTTTCTATACCAACTTGAGCAGAAGGAAGAGCTGTTACTGTTAGGGCTACTTCTTTTAACTTTTCAGGATAGATTTTTATAAGTTCTAAAAGAGGTGTCTTGCAAGCACAATCATATCTCTATTTCTTCAAAGGCCATGTAGAAATCTTGTATTTTTTCATTTTTATTTCAAAAGGCTCTTGGTTCTTTATTTTCAATCGCTTTGCCTTAACCTTTTCAATATAATCCAAAAATATTTCTCAAAATCTAATCCTCTTCCTGTGATGATAGAGACTTAATTGCAGTGTCTGCAGTTTGACTGCCCTGATTTGAATTTTCCAATTGTTCTGAGAATAATTTCATTCTTAATGAAAGTTCATAGATGGCTTTCTTTGCTTTTGTAATTTGTTTGTCATCCAAGAAAATTTGGTGTTTGGGATCTTCATATATTGAACCGATCAAGATCTCATTGTCTAGCAAACTAGTTTCTCTTTTCTTCATTGAAGAAGTGATTCCTTCTGCAATAAACCCTCCATTTCAGAAAGAACAAACATCACATTCTTCCATTCTCACCTCCTGTCAATTCTTCAGATTGCAGCTTTTTTGTGCCTATATGTGGTGTAGAAAGAAAAGTCTCCAATTCTGCAAGATCATTCCACAGTGTTTCTGTTATTGAAACATTAGAGTTTTCTACATCTTCTAAAAAAGTTACAAATTCTAACAACCTATTTATCATCAAATATGTACTTCCTTATCACGTTGTTTGATTAATAATTGCTCCTTTTCCTACTTGCTTCCTAAGAATGGCATTAATTTTGAAAGCTCTTGCTGCTTACCTAAATTTACCAGTGAGATTTGTAACTAAATCAATCAGTTTAATCACTAATAGCAAATATGCCTATATATTTTGTGCCTATATGTGGTGTAGAAAGAAAAGTCTCCAATTCTGCAAGATCATTCCACAGTGTTTTTCTGTTATTGAAACATTAGAGTTTTCTACATCTTCTAAAAAAGTTACAAATTCTAACAACCTATTTATCATCAAATATGTACTTCCTTATCACGTTGTTTGATTAATAATTGCTCCTTTTCCTACTTGCTTCCTAAGAATGGCATTAATTTTGAAAGCTCTTGCTGCTTACCTAAATTTACCAGTGAGATTTGTAACTAAATCAATCAGTTTAATCACTAATAGCAAATATGCCTATATATTTTGTGCCTATATGTGGTGTAGAAAGAAAAGTCTCCAATTCTGCAAGATCATTCCACAGTGTTTCTGTTATTGAAACATTAGAGTTTTCTACATCTTCTAAAAAAGTTACAAATTCTAACAACCTATTTATCATCAAATATGTACTTCCTTATCACGTTGTTTGATTAATAATTGCTCCTTTTCCTACTTGCTTCCTAAGAATGGCATTAATTTTGAAAGCTCTTGCTGCTTACCTAAATTTACCAGTGGGATTTGTAACTAAATCAATCAGTTTAATCACTAATAGCAAATATCACACCCATCCTCCTCCCTTATATTTATTTATTAATATGTCAATAAAATATAAAATAACTGTTTATTAATGATATAGTCTATAAATAAAAATAATAACTCAGATTGTCATTAATTTTATTTCAATTCATATTAATTTAATTTCAAATTCAAACTGTCCAATAAAAACTGGAGTCGGAGTCGTCCTGTTTTTAGCGACTCCAGCTCCAACTCTTTTTACCCCAAACTCTGCCCAACTCCACAGCCCTGGATCCATCCAATAGACTAGGGTGTAATACACAGTATTAAATGCCACTATAAATCAGAGTTTTTGAAAAAACTTCTTTCAAGTGACCATTCTATTTCACTTTGTGATTATAAATAAAATTTCAGTATCAAAGACTGCATTTATTTGTTAGTTTAATTATGGAGTTCTGTTTCCCAAATAACATAGCAAATTCCTGACAGAATGTATGGCCATCTTCTCTATTTATTGAAACTGAAAGAGATAAAGTGAATTTTCTGTCTTTAGGGTCAGTGTAGCAAGGGTTAAAGCAAGAGAATTGCTTTTATATTCAAAAGAAAGACTAAATTAGGAGGCTTTGCAAGAAGAAGATATCTTTGAATGGATGATGTGTTCAGATGATGAAATTATTGGCTCTGTTTTGAACTTGCCACAGCAAGAAAACGATTCTGACTCCAATACAGATAGTGAATTTGATAGGACTGAGAAAATATCTTTTAATGAGGGTTTGGAACAGGGTGAAAAATACCTGAAATTTGTAGAACAGCAGAGCTGTCTCACAGAGCTAGAAATTATGACTCTATATAATTTACCGAAAAAAAATGAAAAAAACTTACTCTCGGAGCGCTCTAAAGTTTTAAAACAAACCTCTATTAGAAAAATGCTTGAAACATAAAAAAATGAAACTTTTTATGCTTTATTAATATCCTTTATTTTTATATGTCTTTATTGTATGTGTCCTTAGTTCTTTTAAATATCCCTGTTATCACTAATATAAATTAATAATATAACATAATAAATTAATGTAATAATGTATATAAATATTTATTTAAATGTAGCTAATATGCCTTATTTATTTTGCACTTTTAGCCTGAATATTATGATTTATCTTTTCTGTTCTGAAATCTTAAAATCTGCATAACCTCTGGTCTGGTCCCAAGCATTGCAGATTTCTGAACTTCTTCTGTATATATGTGTGTGATATTTTAAGGCCTAATCATGATGGCTGAGTGGAAAAGGCAGGAAGAAAATGTTCGCAAAAACTAATTTCGGCAAATCACCCTCTTTATTTTTAGGCACATCAAAATCATTTCTTTATAGAAAATATAAATTTTGATCATAAGCAATTACAGTAACTTTTATATACATGTTACATTATCTTAGATAAAGAACAAAGGAGGGAATAGCAGCATAGAGATGTTTGCATGGCAGAAGTTAGAGAAAAAATGATATAGTTGCTTGTGAAGCAATATTTATGCTAAGTAGGTACATAGGTATAACTAAGCTGTGATTGGCTAATTGTAGATTTTAGTTCCTTTTTGCCAGTAGTGTTATGTAATTTAGAAAGATCTCAAACTTATATCTTACATATATATATACGTGCAAAGAATTATCCTCTTTCTATACTGTCATAGTGTAAGTGGTAGCTCTTGCGACTAGTAATTGGGAGATCCATGGTTCGAATCCTGGTGAATGCATAAAGGATTTTTTGCATTTCTTATCAAAAAAAAAAAATCTATAAATGTCTCTAAAGTAACACCTGACTGAAATGTTCACACGATAATTTGTCTCCAGCTGGATTTGGTGAATTAGGACTCATCCTGTTTCCAGTCACCCGCATTTGCAACATTAAATAAGATAAAAAAAAAAACTTTTAGTTTATTTTGAAGATTTAAAATTTGCTTCATGAACATCTCGCAACCAGTGCCTTAGTCATGGAACTGCTCTTTCAGAACGGCACGCTAACAGGATATATTGTCTTGTAGGGAGAGGAAGTTTGTGTTGCTAAGATTAAGAAGCCTAACTTTGAAAAAAAAAATCTCATGAATTAAATTTGTGATCTAATTGTTCCAATTTTTGGCACATTATGAAAGGAACATTCAGGTAGTTGTCAGAAATAATTCTAAACGTTATATTTTCCTTGCCATTTGAAGTATGAAAAATGTTTTGCTAAATGATACACAATGTATTCCTCTCAATGCTAGCCAAACAAGCAAGCAAAATAGGAAGAATGAAAAAGAAAAGCCTCTAAAACAATGAGATGGAGTCCTGTGGAAATTTTGTAAATATAACGCTGATTTTTGTTGTTTGTCTTCTGAATTAGTATTTATTCGGCATGTTATTGTGTCTTAACAATGAGATATATATTTCTATGTGACCAAAAATAAAAACATAAGTATTCAGAAGCATCAAGAACACCCTCATGTGTTTATATCAGCTGAAGCAGTTAATAGCCAGCTCTGTTTATTTACATTATACATCCATGATTTCCACTTTCATTCCAAAACAAAATGCGAAAAATAAAAATACTGCAATAGCATGAAATTCAACACACTCCAGTCTCCATAAATTCCACCTTAACAGAAATAGTGTGATATAGTTCCACCTTAACAAATATGTCTAGTGGTAAAAACAAATGCTAACTAGATGTTTTTTGTGAAAATTTGTGTGTGGTACTCTCGTCCTTAGAGTGAATTCAGATAGCAAGTGAGAGTATAAATGGCTGACCCTGTCAGTTTGTTTCTCTGTTCTTTGCTGATTGAATAGCTGAGTAAATAGCTTCATATATATATATATATATTATATATAGGATTATGTATATATATATACAGTCAAAAGTCTTTAATCCGGACTCGTCGGGACTTCGGCGATTCCGATTATCGATTTTTTCCGGATTATAGATCATCAGTTTAAATCTGGTAAGATGGCATGCAGAAATTATAAAATTAAAAATATGAAACCGTAATTTATAAAATAATGAGCAATTATGATCTAAAGGGTATCCAAATTTACCAAAAAAGAAGCCTAATATTTTTTGTTTACATTATTAAACATTTCTTTAACGCGCGTATGCGTAAAGCATACCTTACTCATAGCCGAAATTAGAAAATTGCAACCAGAAAACTATGTGATTTGTATTCGTGATATTTATAATGACGAGGAATTTGATTTAAATCATATCAAAGACGGAGTACATCGAAATTAAATACTACATTTAGTAAGGAATTATAAGCCGACTAAAATAAAAACATCTGCCCTGAAGATAACGATAGTGTTGACAGATCAACTTCCAGTTCATTGCGCGCCGCGACGTGAAATTGATAAACAGATTTCGGAACGGTTAGATAAACAAAGGATATGCTTTTATCCATTTTTTTGTAGCAATTCGTTTTTTGTTTGATGGACATCGAAACATACTTTCGTTTTCTAGATCCTTTGGGAGCTCCAGCATCGGAAATTCTATTTGACATAATCGAAAGTTCAAGCTTACTTTTAGAAAATTGCTCTTACAGTCTGCTGCAAAAATAATAAGCCGGATCCATTTGAAGATTAAGGAACAACGCAATTATCAACAATAACTGAAATAGATAATTAGATAATTTTAGCTTTTACCGTCCGTTATACATTAAACGCGCACGCGAAAACGTATTCTGCACTTGCGCAGATGCATATGCGCAGTCGTAAATGTCTTGCGCGCACGAGTAAAACGCCTATGCGCATGCGTCAATGCGGCGCATGCGCAGAAAGATTTTAGCTTTGAGGTCCGGATTATAGATCATTCCGGATTACGGGTGTCCGAATTAACGACTTTTGACTGTATATATATATATATATATAATTAGTCTGTATAGCCCATGAGAAAAGTTTAAGTATGTGGGGGGATAATGCAAGAAATTGTCACATTCCCCATCCACACTGTCAGAGCAACACATCAGACTAGCAATTAGAAAATTCATGGTTCAAATCCCGTGAAGAACATAGCTGACTTTCACGTTGCAGCTCTGTAAAATCTAAATATCTATATGCTAGATTTATGCATTTTTGTGTTCTTGCTTGAGGTCTACAGTCACCTGTATGAATTTAAATAAATTCTGAAATTGAATTTCAGTTCATATCAATGACAAAAATAGTGAAGTAGCATAATTATTTAGAAAAAAATAGATAACAAAAATTGAATTTTAGAAAACAAAAATTTACTAAATTAAACCTATTTTATTATAAAATTAGCAGAAGATTGTAAAATTGAGCAAAAAATTTCTAATCAAGCTGAATTTTTATCGGTGTCTGCCGATAACATCGCAGACGAAAACGTCGCGGAGAAAACAACGCAAGGCGAAAACGTCGTGCTACAAAACATCGTGGGAGAAAACATCGCAGTTCTAAAACATCGTCGTACAAAATATCGTCGTCGAAAATAAAGCGGTTCAAAAACTTCGCAGTTTAAAAACATCATCGTCGAAAATATCATGGTAAAAAATAAAGTATCTACAAATCATCGCATGACGATAACATCGCAGACATGCTTTTTTCAGGCTTTAATAACTGTAAATGGATATTCCCATAATGATTTATGAGCGCAAGATGGAAAGAAGGATAATTTTTACTTTCATATTTTTTATTAACTAATAAATTTTTGCGGAAAAAGTAAGAAGGAGACTTAAGTATAGAAAATTAATGCAACTTATAGCACTTAATAGAATTTTAACTAACAAAGTAATATATATAGTAGTAAATTTTAAATTATGAAATTTAATTGTAAACAAATGAATGATTAATTATTGCTGCAAACTAATCTGCAATATCATTTAAATTCTGAATACATGGATGACGAAACACAAATTGAATAATTGAGAGTTTAGGTTGGAGGCAACTTCCCTTGATAAGCTTGTCTCCCTGCCTGCTCAACAATTATTCACTTATACATTTTAAAATTTTTTTAGGATTAAAAAAATTTTTTGGAATTATATATTTATTCATGGATTTTGATACTTTCACATAATTTAAATGATATTGTAGATTAGTTCGCAGCAATAATTAATCATTTATTGTTTGCAATTAAATTTCATAATTTAAAATTTAATTAACTTTAAATTTGCTTTTACGAATAGAGAATGTTTGTTAAATTTTTATTTTAATTAATATGTTTACTTTTGTTTATTTGCATTTTTCCTAATGATTAGTTCTTAAATGTTAATGTTTTTTAAAGAAATCGAAAGATTAAAGAAATCGATATATAATATATGAATATAATATATGAATCATATGCTGAAAAATTCTTTCCCTATGCTATTTAAAATTCCTGGGTCTCTATGCTATTCACATACTCAAATGTTTTTTTTTTATACTGAAATAAGTACTGGATATATACTGAAATAGATTTTTTACATTCATGTACTGAAAAAGTCTTTCCTCATGCTATCCTTATTGTGAAATAAATACTGAATATATACTGAACTGGTTTTTATATTCTTTCCTCATGCTATTCATATACTAACTTGTTAGTTTCGAAGACTTTTTTAACTTTTCCTCAATGTTAATTTCCAAAGTTGAAACTTCGTTTGTAACATTAAACCACAGTGTTTTATAAAGGAAGACTTCCATCATAAGTCATCTATTTTATCAAGCAGTATAGAGATTATTTGTTGAATTACATAATCACTTGTATTAATGTTTATTTCTCAGATCAAATTTATATCCAAAAGTGCATCCTGAAAAGTTCGTTTACAATAGACTGTGTTACTTTCAGATTTTGCAGTGCGTCAGGAAATAATATTTTGAATTCTATATTTTAATCAAAAGTTGCCATTCTTAATATTATACTATTTTTATTCAACACACTGCTTTATAATCCACTCTTTTACGATTTTTAAGTAATTATAAAAATTTATAGCTGTTATTGAATAATGAAAAATATTTATGGCACCCATTATAAAATTTAGCGTAGATATTGTCAGCCTTGTTCAAAATTTGTAGCTTAAAGAATAAACAATAATTTTACTTTCTTCATTTCGTAAAAAAGGTGATATCATGTCAAAACTTTGCAAATAATGTACCACCATCTATTAATGCAGTTATAAAAAATTAATTAAATAATAAATACTTCATTGTATACATTTAAAAAATTAGGAGCGCGAGAAAACTGTAAACATAGCAGAAATTTCCGCCTAAGTTAGAACTAATATTTAATATTGCTTCATAAATATTTGCGAATAAGCTATCCATGGAAAACCATAAGCATATTTTGAGAATGTATTTTTGTAGCAAAAGACCGATGTTTATAGTGTTACCCATTGCAGAAAAACATGAAACTCTCTAAAATACCTTTCATATTTATCAAATAAAACTTCCATTTTATATATCATTCTATATTTAGCAAATGAAAAACTGCTGTTAAGGATTTTTAACGTTAAATTTACATTACTGTCATATAATAAATTATTTTTAAAATTATGTTATATAATCAGTACTGATCAAAATTGAAATGACTAGGGATTTAAAAGCAAATCTCTTACCTCAGTTTTCAAATTTTCCCCCTTTTAAATATGCAAAAATACACAATAAAATACCGTATTGTCTCAAAACATAATGGTGTCATATATGAAAAAGTTTTGTCTTTTAAGAATCTTTCAGAAAGACAAAAGGGGCTTACATATAAGATGTGCCCACATATATAAGTTTGATATATCAAAGTAAGTTACAAGAAAAGCCATTAAAAGTCTAATCTTATTATTTGAGATAAAATTAAGTAAATATATCTCCCATTGCTTTTACGAGTTAAAAAAAAATACTCTTAAACGTATTCTTTAATATTAAGCTGCCTGATCAGGATGATTTCAGAAGGATAGAAATTGAAAATTTCGTCTTATATGCATCCACAATGGTATTAAATTTACTGAATTTTATTAAAATATAGATAGCTTATTAAGCTAAAAATTATCCATTGTAAACAAGTCTTTTTCTCACACAAACATGAATTAATGAAAAATGAACGAACGTAAAATTTTAATTGATAGGAATTTTTCAAAAATATCGTTATTGTTATACCAAATCTCCAATAAATTTTAGCTTCGCATACCGTTTCAGTTAATAAATGATATTTAAAACGAACAAGGCATCATCATTTGTCGTTCATAATTTCTCTGATGAAATAAAATTTGATTTATACTACCAAAGAGTGTATACCAAAGAGGCTTAAATAAAACACATTATACCAAAGAGGCTTCAATAAAGCACATTATATGGAGTAAAATACGAGTATCATTCACATACATTCATGAAAGCTAGTAAAATTGTAAATATCAACTCTAAGAGCATAAAAGTTCGCCTAATATTTTTCAGAAAATATAGTGTAATTACGACTCATGTTAAAGCTGTAGTAATAAAATTATGTATAATTATATCAGACATTAACATCCTCATTAATTAATGTATAAAATTTACACCTGCAGTGAAAATTGTAG